TGGTTAGCACAAGAGCAAACACGCATTTGTTGGCGTGCCTTTGATTTACTTATTCACACGTGGGCTTCCTGGTGTCTGCCCCAAGGAGCCCTCCTTCTGCAGAGGGCTCCAGCCCTCCTCAGATCCCCCTGCCAACAGCCGGCCGGGCAGGGTTTCCCAGAGCAACAGCATGGGGCCTGCCCTCCGGAAGTGGGGTTAAGAATGGGTGTAGGAAGACCTGAGACAGGGTCCTGGCCCCCCAGGAGGCGAGCCGCAGGCAAGAGGCTGTCCGATGGGGAGAGAAGGGACATGGTTGGGTGTGTGCTTTCTGGTGGCTGGGACCCAGACACCCTGAGGCAGTGCCAGAGGGACAGTGACCAGGTGAGGCAGCAGCTGTGGGCAGTGGGAAGACAGAGGGACAGCTGTGCCTCGGGGGGTGGCAGCCCAGAGTGTCCCCAGAGTATCACCCACTTCTCAGGGGTGCAGAGCCACCCCCTTGGGGATTCATCCTCTTGCTTCTCTCAGAAGAAACAAAGGTCCACACTTCCTGCAGCCACATCTGCTGCCCGTGACCTCATGCACCGTTTTCCACGAGGGACTGGAGCAACTGTGGGTTCGGGGTCCGGACAGTGCTACAGCCGATGCCTGTGGACTTGAGGGGCGACCGTGGGCGCCCTGCCGTCCTTGAGGACACGTCAGTGTGCTGCACCTGGTCTCTTTGTGTGCATTTCTTCTCTGGCTGGTAATGTGCCTCCTTTTCCTCTCGTATGTTGGGAAGCCACCTCCTGTTTCGCCAGGAAGAAGGCCCTGGTACGTCTGGGATGGGCCTGAGTCTGAGCCGAGTGCCTCTGGTTGATCGCGTCCCAGCCCGCAGCCCCCCATGGCCTCCGAGGGGCTGTGCGGAGCCGGCCTTCGCCAGCACCTGGAGCTGGGAGCTGGATGGGGCCTCCTGCAGGAAGACCCAGGGGAGCGTCCGCTCTGGTCTGTGGAGGAGAGGGGTGGAGACCCAGAGGGCAAGCGTCTTGCCACGAGAAACTACGATTGCACTTGAATTCTAGTCAAGAGGCAGGGAAGCCCGGGGTTCACAGGGAGCTGGGTGCCCGTGCCCAGCAGGCCGCGCACTGCTGGGCCTCGCCAAGTCCCCCGGGCCAGCCGGCTGCTTTGCTTTCCTTTTTTCTCATCTGTGACATCTGCTCGGTGCTTGTCCCTCCTGTGATACCGTCCCCCTCGCAGCTGTGCAGACCTCCGGCTCCGCGCTGGCGCGTGGGGTGCCCTGAGCAGACGGCCTCTTTGATGTGTGATAAAACAGAACCAAGCCACGGGGGTACGCGAGCGCCGGCGTCAGAATATCAATTAACCTGCTCCGCACACAGCTGCCGCTCCAGGGCGGGGTAGACCCCTCCCGGAAGCGTCAGCGAGATGGATAATGTATTCCAATTAGGGGCGGACTGATGCCTCCGCGTCCGGTTGCTCCTGGAAGGCAGGCCCACGGACCTCACTGCGGACCCACCGGGGGCCTGTCCTGGCAGCGGTCAGCCGCCACTGACTCATTTATGACTTCTCGCCTTGCTGGACTTTGCAGGCATGAGCTTGCTCTCGGCTCACGTTGGTTTCCCCTTGAAAGTGGGGTCCGTCTTGCAGCAGGGCGGTTGCAGGGACTGTCTGTAAAGGCAGGGTGCTCCGGGGAAGACCTCCAAGCGCCAAGCCTGTGGCCCTCATCCTGAGAGTTTCCCAGGACCAGCACTCCCCCACGCAGGGGCCTCGGTCTCTGTCCCCCTGCTTTCCAGGGGGACCCCCTTGGGCCGGCGCAGGGAAGAAGGGCTGCCAGGGCAGCCTGCAGAGTTCAGGGGTGGGGGGAGGGCGGGGCCTGCGCGTCCCTCCAGAGCCCCCTCGGTCTTGGTCCTTGAGTCTGAGACCAGCTCGGAGCTGTGTGGAGAGGCCCGGCTAATTAGGGAGACGCTCCTCATTTTGCTGCACTTTTCCCGGGTAATTGGAAACCTGCTTTCTCCAGTGAGCCGTGGGTGGTGAGGGCTGTTTCCCTGAACAGCCCTAAAAGCTTTGGACCACACGCTGGAATCCGCTGCACATGTACGGGCGAGATGCTAATGAGGGCTCCGCAGCACGGCGCTCACCGCGGAGGCCGTCTCCGCCAGTGAGGATGGAGTTCCCGCCTGCTTTCAGCTTCAAACGGGCTGGAAACACAGTCGCCAGCCCTTGTTTTGGGAGAAGCAGTCGGTGGGCTGCTGAGCCCTCCCCACCAATTCAAGAAAAACTCAGGGGCTGAGTGCAGCGAAGGAGCCTGGGCGTGGCGTCCGGGCTGTGTGGGGCCCCAGAGATCTGCCTCGGTGCCTGTGGCTGCACCCGCATCTGTAGACACGGGTCTTTCTCGGGGCTGGGGCCCAGCGCCGGCCGGCGATAACAAGGACTTGAGGGAGCAAATGGCTGTTAACAGATTTTTTCTTGCACTTTTGCTTCGTTAGTTTAGAAACCCAGGGTTCCATGACTGCGTGTTTTCCTGCATAATTCAAGAAATTAATGATAGCATGCCTGATTTTCCCAACACTCTTAGCTCTGTAAATTTGTTTAGCTTAAAAAAAAAAACTGTCACTTGAGGCCGTTGGAACCTAAATGTTTTCCGTTGAAGGAATGCAGGCTCCTGTGTGTTTTTTTCAGGAGAGACAGGGCTCGCCCTGTGCGCACGGCGTTCTGTGGGTCAGGCGGCCGCGCGTCTGAGCTTGCTTGTCCGTCCACCCTCTGACCTCAGCAGCCACGTTCCCTGATGACCGGCGGGGAGCGGTCTCTGACAGGCAGGGGCCCTGTTCCGAGAGGCAGGGTCAGAGCCTCCGCCCGACCCCATCCCCCACTGCGGAACGGAGACCCGAAGCGCGTGGGGGTTTTGTGCGGCTCTTCGCAGTGCGCGTTACCTGCCGTTTCCGGGTGTCGGGCTGAGAGCCTTCCGCTGTGCGTGTGTGGGACTCGGCTCCTGGGACTCGGAAAGGCTCGGAAGCTGTTTGATGTGAGCGGTGCTGAGGGACATAAAACACAGCTTAAGCAAGAGGGAGCCAACGTGTCGACTAGATATTGCAAAGGTATCAGTTCTTGTTAAATTAATCGGTTAAAATGCTGAATGTCAATACAGAATCCAGGTGCAGTTTCTATTTCCGAACTTGACAGAGTGTTTTTGCTGTGCACCTGGAAGAACAGTTTAAAACAAAGAAAGACAAAGAAGGAGGAGCAGGGTCTGATAATAACAATAAGTTATGAAACAGCAATGATTTCAAAGGAATGAGGATGATGCCGGTGTCCAGGGGCACAGAGGCCCGAGCCAGCGTCGCGCCAGCACCCAGATTGGGACATGGGTGACGCCGGGGTTGGACGAGCTGTCGCATAGACCGGGTCCGGACAGTCGGTGAGACCTGAGGAGACCAGTCAGACCACAGCCACACATCGTTGCCACACTAAAATATGGCTCCATCAGACATTTACACGTGAAGACCGAACCCGCAAGAGAACGCAACGTAAATGCAAGTGAATGTTTATCAGTGTTTGCGGTGCCAAACGCTTTTCTCCCGCACCCGCAAAGCGCCAGAATGTCAAGAGAAGGATGCTGATTGATCTGGCCGAAGACACGTGTGTTACAGACAGCACCACACACAAGATTAAACAGCCCAAGACGAACAGCGGAAGACATTAGCAACATTGTTTGCCTCTAAGGGCCTGTGGTAGTGTTTGTCAAAGTAGGTTAGTGTTTTTAATACGTAAAGAGCTCTTGTAAATAAATAAAAGGACAAACCCCAAGGGGAGAGTGCAGAGAGAGCATGGTAAGCATTTTTGGAAAAGAAAAAACGCGAATAGCCAATAAACACACAGAAACAAGGCCGAACCTCGTCAGCAGTCAAACACTGTAAGTGAAGGTGGCAACCGGGCCCTGCTGGCTAGACGGACGTCCCCTCGGGTGTGGCTGGCTGTGGACACGGGCAGGGACCTGGGCTGTGGGCCACAAACTGCCCGGCAGTTCAGCCATGACCTGGGGTGCTTCCGTGAGCACCGAGATGTATGTCAGGTGTGTTTTATGTGGACAGTGAAAAACTGGACCAAAACTAACTGTGCGACCGTGTGGCTTCGTTGCTGTTGGCAGCATGAGACACACAGTGCCAGGCAGCTGCGGGAACCCCAGGGAGGGGCGTTTTGTGACGTGGGGACGTTCCTGGAAGGTTTTTGCTTTACTCGACAAAGCAAAGCCCAGACCACAAGCGGCGTGTCCTGTGTGAAGCCGGGCAGACGTGCCGCAGCGAGCAGCGGCCGGGGGGTCTCCACGGTGTTACCGGCAGCTGGGGTCCTTGTCTCGGCTCTTCAGTGTTTTCCGAGGGGCGTGCAGTGACCGCACCTTACTGTCACAGTCGCATTTGGAGTTGATAGAAATGAACCTTCTAAACCAAATCCGGAGCTATTCCCGGAGGGAGCTCACCCTGCAGCGAGTTCGCTGCGGAACAGGAACTTGAACGCAGGTCTCTCTGTGCTGCGTCTGCGGCTTGTTCTTCCGCAGAGTGTGCGGTTAGGTTTGGACCTGGGTGGCTCCTGGTCCAGGGCCCCATATCTGAGGAAATTCCTTAGAAGACCATCCGAAACGTGGACAGAGCTGTCCGCGTGGAGGTGTTCGTGCCGGCAGGGTTCTCGCAGGATTGCTAGTGGCTGAAATGTCACCTGTGGGTGGGGTCAAGTGACCGTGGCAGCTCGCTTGGTGGAATGCCGTGCGGCCGTTCAAATGGTGGTCATGAAGAGGCGTGCTGGGGTGTGCGATGGGGAAACAGGAAGGACACGGCATCGCATGTGACGTGACTCCACTCGGGGCAGAGTTCAGAAGGGGGCAGAGGGCAGGTTGGGTGATGCGCCCACCAAAAACTTTGATTTCCTTTGGTCTTAAAAGTTCCGGTCTTTCTGTGAAACTATTCGATTCTTTTATTAGTTACAAACACCCTAAAAACTGAGACCAGACTGCACCTCTCCAACCCTCTGCCCAGGGCTGGATCCTGGATGGCATCCCTGAGACCCGGGAGCAGGCGCTGATGATCCAGACCCGTGGGATCGTCCCCAGACACGTCAGTGAGTGGCCCCGGGCAGGGGCACCCAAGCTGCTGCCCAGGCACCGCCCAAGGGGGGAGGGGCAGCACTGCCGGACTTTTTAGGGACCTAAATGGGCTTGTTCCTAATAATGTGGGCTTTGGTTTTGAGCCTGGTGGCTCCTTGTCCCAGGAGTCCTGCCTCTGAGAAACTCTCTTTAGGAAACAGTCTAAAACGTGGCCAAGGTGTGTGCACAGAGTTGTCCCTCATGGGGTTATTTTAAGAAGTTACTTATTGATTGGTTTTAGAGAGGGAAGGAGGGAAGGAGAGGGAGAGAGAGGAACGTCGATTCGCTCGTTGCCCCACTCGCTGGTGCATTCCTGGGTTGGCTGTGGTGCGTGCCCTGGCTGGGGGTGGAGGCCGCAGCCTTGGCGTGTCGGGACGGCACTCTGACCAATGTGGCTGCCGGGCCAGGGCCTCAGACTGTCATTTGTGACGGTGAGACCCTCAGCAGTCAGACGGGTGGGGTGCACGTTGTCCCCAGCCCTGGGGTCATGTCCGTGGTGTTCGGTGCTGAGAACACCTCTTGGGGGGGCGGTGTCAGGGGCGTTTAGTGTCGTTCCACAGTGGCAGACCCACAAGGCTAGTTACTGGTCCCTGCGATTCACATGTCTGGGCCCCGCTGCCCAACACACCGGTTTTCCTTCTTTGCTCCCCCGCCCAGTTGTGCTGAGTGCCCCAGACACGGTCCTGATTGAGAGGAACTTGGGGAAGAGAGTGGACCCTCTAACTGGAGGTAGGCACCCCGCCCCCACCGCACCGCACCCCACGGCACCCGCAGCGGCGTCCGCAGTGGCTGTGTGCCCCTGTCCTGGCAGAGATTTACCACACCACCTTCGACTGGCCCCCTGCGTCTGAGGTCCAGAGCCGCCTGGTGGAGCCCCTGGGCATCTCGGAGCTGGACACGGCGCAGAGACTGCTGGAGTATCACAGGAACATCGTCAGGATCCTCCCCTCGTACCCCACAGTCCTGAAGGTCATCAGTGCCGACCAGCCGTGTGTGGACGTCTTCTACCAGGGTGAGCTCGGGCGGCAGCGGGCTCCCCTGCACCCCGACCTGTGTGTCCCATGGTCACTTAACCTGGCGGTGCCCAGCGTCCCCGAGGGTGAGGGAGCACCCCACTCGGAGCCCCTGGCTTGACCTTGGACATTCTGTGTGGTCGGCAGATTTGACCCTGAGGGGCGGGGCGAGGGTGGCCGGGGCCTCGGCGGGAGAGCCGGCAGCACCGTTGCCGTCCACGTGAGGTAGACGGGAGGGAAATTCTATAAAAACTGAAAACGCAGCAACCAAATCCCACCATCACCACCACGAAGACCAAAAAGCCACAGTACAACACGGGTGTCCTGAGCCACTTAAGCGCCGTTGACGTGTGTGTGGCAGGGACTGTGGGGCTCTACCATCCCCGTCCACCATGGCCTGGGTCACACCCCCACCACGTGTCCCCCTGCTGTCTTGGGCAATTCTCTTCACCCCGCAGAGCCTTGGTTTTCCCAACCCTAACATAGAACCCACCCACGGCCCGCTTCCCCGCCAGCCTGGGGGACAATGACAGGGGCCATGACGGGCTCTGCCAGTCGCGTCCCCGCCGGGGTCGGCTCAGTGCACACCAGCCGCTCTCGCTCTCGCTGTGACCCGGCCCCTGTCCGCAGGCCGGGGGGAGTTAGGGGAACCCCGACCACAGCTGCCGGAGGAGGGTTTTTAAAGTCATGCCAGGCCTCAGGTGTCTGCAAGGCCAGGCGTCCCTTCTGTGCTGTCACAGGCCAGTGACACAGTAAAAATGCCACCGGGTACCTAAGGCACTTGGGTGCTCACACGGCTGTTTTGTGTGCTCTCGCAGCTCCCTCCTGCACGGGAACTTGGCTCGGTGGGGAGGTAGTTCTGGGCACCCCGGGGTGGCCCTGCCTCCGGCCCCACCTGCCCGCGGGCTCTCCACGGGTCAGCCGCCGCCGCGGGTGTGCAGAAGTGCCAGGCTCGCGGGCGGCTTACGATGTTCCCGCGGTTTTGCCTCTCGAAAGGCCTTCAGCAGCGAACACCGCTCTCTGAAGATAAACAGCGTTTATCTTGTGCCGTGATTCCGAATGTACACAGTAATTGCTTCCAAGTTATTTAATTAAATTCAGAAGTTCACGCGATCCTCCGTAAAGAGCTCGTGCCTGGAACTGTAAATAAAAATGCGAGGTCTGATGTATTAATTATTATTAATTAGTAACGCAGAGAGAGACATGGGAAATCGGAATGCGCAGTCTCTCTGTTGCTTTGTCACTCGCCCCGCAGTGCACTCAGCAACTGCGTGTTCCTGAAAAAGAGCGACTAGAGGTCGGCACTGTCTGGGGGACCATTATGTCCAGTGAACTCGGTCACTGACTGTGAATTAGGCATTGTCTGCCGGCCGCTTGGCCTGCAGCATTTGCTCTCTCGGACGTGCCGACCTGGAAGCTCTGAGAACAGACCTGGGCTTGACCGCCTCCTCCGGCCCTGCCCACTGGGGGAGGTCACCCATGCCCGTGGGTGGGGAGAGCGGCCCCCGCCCCGCGCCCCTCCGCCCCTCTGCCCCTCCGTCAGTGGGGACAAGAGTAATTCCACCCCTGGGACTGCGGGCCGAGCAAGTCAGAGCCAACCTGCAGGGTGTTCAGCTCGGCAGTCGTTACATGACAGCGGCGATGGTGACGAGGTCGTACGCAGCCTGGCACAGTTGGCCCGCCTTCCTGTGCCTTTTGCTCCAGAGCGAGGGGACTCGAGGTGTCTCTCGTGACCCTGCCCACTGAAGAAACTCACGAAGAGCCGAGAGGCCCACGTCTGCACGATGAGCACGCTCTCCTGGCCCTCGGGTTTGTTCTCCTCCCGCAGCAGCGGCATCTGACAAGGTCTGGAGACGCTGCAGCTGTCACACCTGGGAGGTGCTGCTGGCATGGCGCCTGGAGGGGCAGGTGCACAGGACAGGCCCTGCAGCCAGGGACCGGCCGGCCCCAAACGTGGCGAGTGCGAGGCCGGCTGGCGCTGGGTCAGGGTGGCCGGGTCCCTGAAGGCAGCCTGCTCCCTCTGCCCCTTGCCCATGGCTGACCTTGGCGCTAGATGCTCTGGGTCCCTGGCAGGAGGCGGGGTGGGTAGGGAGACCTGTTTTGACACGGCACCTGGGGTGTGGGCTCGGCCTCGAACTCGGTGGCAAGGCGGCTCCCCTGTTGGGGGCGCCTGCACCGCCCTGCCCCGGCCTCCCCCGCCTGCTCTTGCGCCTCCCGCGTCTCCGTGCTCAGGTGGCAGGTGGCCTGGTTTGATGTTCAGTAGCTGTTGGCGCCCCGGGCACTGCCCTGGGTGGTGGCCTCCAGGTTGGAGACGTGCCCCGTTGTCCCCACTTCTTTGTTCATCACATGCCAGGGCACCGCGCCGCCCAGGCCGCGTGGGTGCACCTCCCTCTCCCGGGCCTGGCTGACGGCCGCTCCTTCAGGGACTCGCAACAAAGTTGGTGTCACCGGAACGTGGCTGCAAATTATTCCCCACCAGTCCCCAAGTCCTTTAGAAGTCCCCAGGTGCTGGGCCCCCATGTGGCCTGACACGCTGACGCGGTTATCAATGGCCGTCTGCCGCTGGGAGACCAGCCCGGTCCTGGCTCAGGCCAGAGGCTCAGCCCCGACCCAGCTGGGAAGAGTCCCGACCCAATGGCGCACATCTCGTGTCCTGGGGCCAGCCCCCAACGCTGCAGCCTGCCACCCTTCTGCACATTGTCCCCTCCCACCTCGGTGCCAGGCCCCAAGCCTAACCCTTTCCCTGCCGTTTCACCTGCCTGTCAGACGCAGGAGGGTTTCCGTGGAGCCGTAGCGGAGGGGGAGAGTTCTGCTGAGAAAGGAGCCCACGCACAGCGCCGGGCGGTTCCCTCTCTGCAGGGCCCACATTCATGCTCCTGCGCCCTCTCTTTCAGCTCTGACCTATGTCCAAACCAACCATCGCTCCAATGCCCCCTTCACCCCGAGGGTGCTGCTCTTCGGGTCTGTGGGCAGCGGGAAAAGCCTGCAGGCCGCGCTCCTGGCCCAGAAGTACAGCCTCGTTAATGGTGAGTGCCAGCCCCGCCCTGCTCTCGGGGCTGCCCCATGCCCACCTCCCGGGCCCTCTTGCTGACGGGTGGCCAGGAGGAGGCCAGCATCGCTTCTCTTTCTTGATCTCTGCTCTGAACATTCTCCAGTGCGCCCATCTGCGCAGGGATAACGGGTTTCCTTCCCCGAGAATAATGCCATCAGAACACGAACCGGTGAAACCACGTGTGCAGCCCAGAGAGCCGAACGGGCTCTGGGCGTCGGCCCTCGCGTCCTCTGCGGCCGCCCGCAGCCTCCTCGCAGCCGCAGCTCCCGCGTGGCGCGGGCTGCTGTTCCTGTATCTCCCCGTCGTGTGTGGCTCCGCGGCCCGGGTCCGCGTGTTCACGGGCAGGCCATTTCTGAACCAGAGGAAGGCTTCTCACTCGGCACGGTGTCAATAAATATTTACCAGGAGCAGGGCACATACTGAAATCAGTTCTCCGGGACTTGCCTGGCGTGGTCCCAGGTGGTCCTGGCCACCAGCCTTCAGGACGGTAAAGGGCTGGGAAGGAGGCGGACATTCGGTGTGGCGGGGGCAGGGAGCACTCAGGGCACTGTCCCCCAAATGCTTCACCAGCCTAAAGGCCCTACTTCATTTATGAAGCAAACATGAGACCTGTATCCCCACACAGAGAAATGTGCATGCCCCAAACCACACACACACCACACCAGTCTCCATGTGCGCACACACGAATACGTAACATACCACCCAGGAGGGCCAGGGTCTGAATGAGGGTGCCGTGCACTTAGGTCTCCTACAAGCCAGGAGTTAACGACACAAATCACACCCACGAAATGGAGATACAGGACTGAGCAGTGATTCCGACGAGTCGGAGGAAGGCGAGCAATAGCAATGTTTGTATCTTACTCAGATTTCTCAACAGTGGTATTCTGGTTTGATTGGTTTGGAAAACAGCCTGGCCGCTTTAGGATTAAAAATGCTTTTGCTGACATCAGTGGTCTTTTAAAAACCGTTATTCAGATCATTTCTCCTTCTGACTCTCCCTGTAGAGGATCTGAAGGCTGGATCCCGGCTAGGGAGCAGGAAGGCGTCTTCGCCGGGACTGAGCGACCGCTGCTCCAGCCGCGCCCGCGGGGGCCAAGGGCCCTGCGCTGTGCGTGGCGGGAGGGTCTGAGCGGAGTACCTGCGGCACCCAGCTCCGTGAAGCGCGCGCCACTGTGTCCTGCTTTGTTTACGCAGGCGCCGTGGTTCAAGAGTGGCTTCTTCTCTTTTTTATTTGTAAAGATTTATTTCTTTTTAGGGATAGGGGAAGGGAAGGAGAAAGAGAGGGAAAGAAACATCAATGTGTTGTTGCCTCTCGAGTGCCCCCTACTGGGGACCTGGCCCACAACCCAGGCGTGTGCCCGGACTGGGAATTGAACCAGCGACCCTTTGGTTTTGTAGGCTGGTGCTCAATTCACTGAGCCACACCAGCCAGGACAGAAAGACTTTTTAAATGTTATTTTTTAATTACGGTTTACGTTGAACATTATTTAATATTAGTTTCAGGTATACGGAATAGGGGTTAGACAATCATCCGAGGAAAATGTTTTTTAAGTTAAATTGTTTTCCATGCACCAATCATGGAGAAAGGTTTTTAACAGGCTAGATTTTTCTTTTTAAATATTTTATTTATTTTTAGAGAGAGGAAGGGAAGGAGAAAGAGAAACATCAATGTGTGGTTGCCTCTCGCATGCCCCCTACTGGGGACCTGGGCTGCAACCCAGGCATGTGCCCTGATTGAGAATTGAACTGATAACCCTTGGTTCACAGGCCCGCACTCAATGCACTGAGCTATACACCAGCAAGGGCAGCATTTTAATTTTTTATTCTCACCCGAGAACATGCTTAGAGAGACAGAAAGGAAGGGAGGTAGTGAGGGAGAGAAACATCAACCAGTTGCCCCTCACCCTGTTGCCAATCGGGGAGATTGAGGACCACACCCATGACTCAGGTTTATGCCCTGACTGGGAATCAAACCCAAGACCTTTCGGTTTATGGGATGACACTCTCACCAGCTGAGCCACACTGGCCAGGACTACATCCGATATTTTAAATATGTCTGGTGGAGAACACAGAGTTGGTCTTTTTAAAAATCCATTTTGGTCCTGGCTGGGGGCTCTGCTGTTTGGAGCATCGTCCCAATACTCTAAGGTTGCAGGTTTGATCCCCGGTCAGGGCACATAGAAGAAGCAACCAGTGAAGCATCAGTAAGTGGAGCAACAAATCAGTCTCTCCCCCTCTCTCTAAAATCAATGAATGAAAAACAAATTTCTTAAATAAGTAAACAATCCATTCTGACATTTTTCCTGCCTTTCTGTCCAGTCCGTTTCCGTTCAAAGTGACTTTTAAATGGGCGGGGGGTCCGGTCTGCTGTCCTGGCTTTTTGTCCTCCGTTCGTGTCGTCCGTTGTCCGTTCCTCCTTCTCGCCGACCTCTGGGCGAACCGAGCGTCCCCTTCGCAGTCCATCTCCTTTCCTCTGCTGCCTCCCGGGCCTGTCTCTCGGCCGCGTCCCGTCCCACGGGCGGCTCTGCAGCTCCCACGTGCGGCTCGGCCGCCTCCGGGCGCAGGTTTCCTCCCGCCCTGCTGCCGCCCTGCCTGCGCTCATTGTCACACGCGTCCCCTTCCGTACATCATGCGCTCTACGGCCCACGCTAATTGTTTTCACTTTCCACTGCCTGTTTCCTTAATCAGGGAATGTGTGGGGGGGTGGGGGGGCACTTTCGCACCCACCCGCACACCAGCCTCCTTCACCGCCTCCTCCGGGCCCAGGCCTCCAATGGGCGAGGGGTCTTCCGGCCCAGGAGCCCCCACTGACGTTTCCTGTAGCTGGCGTCTGCAGGTGACAGAGTCTGTCTGTCCGCGTTGGTCTCCCGATCGTTCTCGAAGGTGCTTTGCTGGGAGTAGAAAGTGTCTGACAGCCCTTTGAAGGCGCCGTTCATGTCCTGTGGCCGGCCATCGTTCCTGACGGGACTCGGGCCGTCTCCACCTTGGCTGCCCGTGGAGAAAGCATCCTTTCCCCGCTGGCCACCTCTCACAGTTTCTCATGAGCCCGAGTTTTCAGAAATGTGGTGACGGTGCATTTCAGGTGTGGCTCACCTTGTGTGTTCTGTTCTCCTTGGGCAGCGGAGGTCCTTGGGTTTGTGGGCTGATGCTTCTCACCAGATTTTGAACTTCTGCTGCTGCTTTTGTTCTTTTTATCTGCCTCCCCCCCTCCTCTGTGGGTAACCCCAGGTGCACAGGGTTCTGCTCTGGCCTCGGCTCCCCCTCCCTCCCCAGGCCCACCCTGCCCCCTCTGCTTCAGTCCCAGCACTGCCCGTGGTCGGCTCTCCTGTCTAGCCCGTCCGGCGGCCGTCTCCAGCCCTGGCGCTCCCCTCTGGTTTACTGCCGTTCTTCCGCAGTCCCCAGTTCTCTGCTGAGACTCCTCTGCCTGGTCCGGCGTGTTAACCACCTTCGCCTTAGGGTCTTGAGCACATTGGTGACAGCGGCTTCGGGGACTGAGGGCCAGTCTGGCTCCTGTGCCGCCTCTCAGTTCGGCTGCGTGGTCTGTTTCCTCTCCGCACGGGGGCCGCGCCTTCCTGTGATGGTGTCGCTGCAGCTCAGTAGGTTTAAGACACGCTGGACATTGTGTTTCTCACGTTACTCGGCTGGTGGGTGTGGCTTTGTTTAGAAATGTTGAGTTCAGCCCTGGCTGGTGTGGCTCAGTGGATTGAGTGCTGGCCTGCAAACCAAAGGGTCATGGGTTCTGTTCCCAGTCAGGGCACATGCCTGGGTTGCGGGCCAGGTCCCCGGTAGGGAGCATGTGAGAGGCAATCACACATTGATGTTTCTCTCCCTCCCTTTTTCTCCGTCTAAAAACATTAATATTTTTTAAAAAACATTAAAAAAGGAATGTTGAATTCTGAAGAGCTGAGTTTTCACAGCAGTTAGCTGAGTGCAGAATCCATTCCATCCGGCTGACGCTTGCTGGTAGTTTCGTGAGGGTGGGACGAGGGTGCACTCCCTCTGGGGCTGAGGCGTGGCCTTCCTGGGATCTCAGTGAAGAGTCGGGGCGTCCAGCATGGCCTCTCCCTCCCTCTGGCTTCAGAAAGCCAGCCTCTGCCTGTGAGGCGGGAGCCCGCCCACAGTGTGCCGCGCCGGCAAGCTCTTCTCTCCCCGGCGTCCCACCCTGCCGTGCGAGGCTTTGCCCTGCCCAGGGATGCACGTGCCCTCCCCCCCACCGCGGGTCCCTGGGGCTCCTCCCCTGCTTAGCTCCACCCCCTGCCATGACCCCGATCCACCAATCCCCGCCATCACGGAGCCCCCAGTTCCATCCTGTTGCCTGCTGCTCTGTTCAGTCCCCACGCTCCTGTGCTGGGGTTGACGAGTGACCACAGGTAGACGTCTCGGGTGAACACGGGACTCCGTGTTTCCCCTCTCAAGAACCACAGCCTGGCTGGCTGTCGTCCAGCCCCTGGAAAGCATGCTCTCGTACACGTTACGGCTCTTGATGGCAGAAGGTAGAAATGATGCCCATTATTCCGTTGTGGCCAGACTGGCAGCCAAGCATGTGTTTGATGTCCCCTAGAGCTGGACATGGACCCCGCTGCACTGCCCCCTGGTGCTGGCAGTGGGGACAGGTGACATCTCCTCTTTGAGTCTCAGTTTCCTCATCTGAAGGACGTCAGGCTGTGGTGAGGACCGAGGGGGACAGAGCGCGCCCAGTGCGGCGCCCGGCACGTGGGGCAGCCTCCGTGACCACCCACCTTTGCTGCTGCTGCCGTCCCCGAGCGGGCGAAGCTGCGGTCCAGCTGGAGGGTGGTCACCACCGTCATCTCCACAGAGAGGGAAGCCTGTCCCTGCTGGGGACGAAGACTTTGGCGATGGCCGTTGTCTTAAACATTCACTTCATTCAGTTAATTGTAGGATATGTTTGGCCTTAAAGTTAAGAAAAGCCAGATTTGTGCAGTCAACAGCTATGAAAACAGAGCTTCGACCTCCAGCTTTGGCTGGTGAGGGTGCTGCTGGCCAAGAGAGGGCGGCCCGAGTTTATAGCATCTTGACTGTCACTCCTGCGTGCGGGCCATGCTGGGGCTCTGGACAGAAGACCCCTGTCTGCACGACCGCACCTCCCAAGGGGCAGGGCACGCCAGTGCGCTGCCTCTGTCACAGGGGTCCGTCTGTGCCAACAAGTCACCCGGCATGTGGACTCACGGTGCCGTGGAGACGGCGTGCCGACCAGAGCACCCGGCTTCCCGCCGTCCCCTGCACGCACGGTGTGAGCAGGAGCGCGTGCCCGTGGGGCCGGTTGCAGGGCCCAGCGCGTCCCCCGCCGAGGCTCTGTTCTGTCCTCCCCTCTCCGTCCACTTTTAATCCATCGTTTGCCAAGTGCGTTCTTTCTCACCCCGCGTCTTCCTCCTCGGCCTGCTCTGCGTCCCCCAGTCCCTTTTGCCTGTTGACTTCGCCGGACACACCCCCGCGTTCAGGGAAACCCGGTCCTGTTTTCTCAGTGATCTCTTTTTCCTGCCCAGCGGGCAGCTCCGGGGCTTCTTCTCTCCTCACCCCCCTGCCCGTCGAGAATGTGACGGTGTCCCCCGGTGCTCTCCCCTCCAGTCTGCTGCGGGCAGCTGCTGAAAGAGGCCGTGGCGGAGAACTCCAGACATGGCCGGGACATCCAGCCGTATTTTGAAAAGGAGATAGCAGGTAGGCCACGCTCCCCACTGCAGCCACCCCTCACCCACCGTGAGGCACACCGGCGCCCCCCACCCACCGAACTCACACCGGGAAGGGCAGCTGAGCACTGGGAGCTGGGCTCTCTGGGGCAGAGGCTCTGCGCCTGCCCCTGGTGAGGCCCTGGGGCTGCCCAGCCTGTCCCGGGGGCCCGGGCTTGGTGGGCCCGCCTGTCACCCACCACGTACCATCTGGAAGGTCTCTGTCGGGAACCGTTGCTTACACGGGACAAACCTGAGACAGAGGCCGGGGGAGGCCGAGGGCAGATGTTCCAGTCTCACCCACAGCCAGAGCTGGAAAGGTCGGGCTGCTTCATAAGTGCGTGGACTGACTGGCCACGGATCCTCTGTGGGCCTGACGTGACCTGTCTGATGGGGGCCGCTGGGGGGGGGGGGCTGCAGGACCCCCCCCCCACCATGGTCCACAATCTGAAGATGTTTTTAAGATGTGACCCTTAGGAGGGACTTTTGAGATCATTCTAGTCCAGTTTCCCATGTCCACAAGTGACCGCGGAGGGAGCCGAGCCGCTGTGGCCACCCAGCCAGCTGCGGCCCCTCTGGACCCTGAATCCCCTTGGGCAGAGCGGTTTCGGGCCCCTGCGTCCTCCCGTGTGTCACGCACTGCAGCCCCTCTGTGCGGTCAGCACAGCTGTCAGGGCTGACCAAGGTGGACTTGTGAGTCACCTTGACCCTGAAAGGAGCTGTGGTCACAACAGGCAGTGGGTGTGCTGGCTGGGACACCCTCTGGCAGGATACGCAGGGGGCGTCAGCCCCCTCCTCCCCATCTTCTGGAGGCAGGAAGTCGATGAGGGAGCTGTAAGAACAGGCTGCCTGCTCCCAACTGTCAGCTCGGAGAGTCCGGAGCGACGTCCTGGCCTGGCTCTCCCAGGTCCCCGGGGTGAAGTTCGGTGTGCAGAGGCAGAGTGCATGCAGGGCAGGTCACGGAGTCTGTTCCCCCTGCAGCCAGCGGCTGTGGGAGCCGGAGGCACCAGGCGAGAGTCAAGTCCACGACGTTTGGGACTCCCCTGCCTGTTCAGAACCTGGGGCGCCCCCAGCCCTGTGCGGCTCTCAGAACCCGGGCTTCTCAGGGATGAGGGGGACGTGGAAGTCCCCGGATACAGGGACCGGTGAGGGCCGATGGGAGGTGTGTGAGCGGTACTGGTCGGAAAGTGTCATCGTGGCGGCGCGGGGACAGGGACCTGAGCCGCAGTTCCCTCCCGCAGTGCCAGGCTCCGGAGCCCTGGAGAATGTGCGACGGCCCAGTGAGCGGCTGCCTGACAGGTGACGGACTAAAGCCTTTTACAAGAGGCCTCACACCCCGGCTCTAGGGCGTGACGGGGTGTGACTGACTTCTGGGCGGACGAGCCACAGCCTCCAGGAGGAGAGGCGAGGCCTCGCGGTTGGCAGCTGGTGACTGTCCTGCAGGGTCCGTGGGGGCTGTTTGACTTGCTTCTTGCAACTTTTCCGTACTTTTGAAGCTTTTTTCAGAGTTAAAAAAGTAAGTATTTAGGTGGTCCCCAAAGGTGCACCCCTCCTCTGCTCCTGAAACACACACTGTGTGCCCACAGGGGCTCGCGGAGCCCCCGACAGCCACGGGGTAACCAGAGGGACCAGGCCTAGGTGGCGGCCTCAGCGGTCAGGACCCGTCGTGTGTCCCCCTGTCCACCGTCTCTGGGAGGGCCAGGTGTTCACCTTCTGTTCCTGGGGGTGCGGACTCGGGGCTGCACGTCAGCACGGGCGCACCCCCACAGCGCCTGGGCCCGGCTGGTCCGTCCTGGGGCTGGGGAGAGCGCACCCGCCCTGGCCAGTGTCCAGGGTCCAGCGTCCAGCGGCACTTTCTGCCTTTCTCTCTTGGGCCGCAGAAACTAAACCCAGCGAGCCTTTTCGGTGGTGGCTAACCCGCTGCGCTGCTCCCTTGTTTTTCCAGTGACAGAAAGGAGACTAAATGCATGAAAGTGAGTGACACCAGGTAGCTTTGACCTTCCATACTTCGTGCTAAACTCAGTGCCCCTGGCCCCACAGCTGTTTGTTCTCGGGGCCCGTGCCACTCTGGACCCCACTTCCTGCGGCGGTGAAGGCGCCCGGCAGCCAGCCCCACCCCTTCCCAACGGAAGCATCGCTTCTCGCCGCCTCTCAGATCTCGAGGTGGCGGCCGCCGGGTGCGATTGCCTCCCCAACCCCTGTCACTGGGCGGTGGGCCTGTGGCCGGGAACCAGCGCGCTTGCTCTGCAGGGCCAACTGCTCCCCAGCCGGAAAGCCACTCGCCGCCAGAAAGCAAGACGCTGTGGGAGACTCTCCCGACCCCGCTGGAGGGCAGGAGGCCGGGGTGGACGCCGAAACCCTGCTGCCACCTGCTGCCTGGCCTGTCTGCCTGCGAGGCCCTGTCCTGGAACCCAGTGCTGCAGGCGGGCTCTGGGACCTGGTGTAGGTGTGCCGTGTTTGGGGGGGGCGACTTGAGCCATGTCACCTCCCCGTGTCTGAGCTCTGTAGCCATTTGGGGACAGGCCCAGAGTTTGCTGGGTGTCAGAGGGCAGTCACGGCCGTCCACGGGCTCTGCTGGGCTCCCGACGCGGCCTCCCAGGCCACGCCTGGGGACAAGCCTGCTGAGGTGGGGGGGCCCCTTTCCCAGTAAAGCCGCCAGGTCCCCATGGTGGGGACAGGAGACTGAGCCCAGGTCTCCCCCGGGAAGAGCCCTGACTGGGCGGAGGCAGCAGGGCGAAGGGGTCCATCTGTACCAGGTGGGGCGGAGGGCTGGGGCAAGCCCACCGAGCGGCCCCCCTCTGGGGGAAGTGAGGCAGAGGGTGCGACAGTGAGTGTCTTCCCAGCGCTGCCCTGGGGTCAGAGGTCACCTTCTTTTGGGGCCTCATGGAGGCCTCTCTGCATCCCCCTTCGGGGACCCAGGCGTGTTTCAGATCCCCCTGCCCTCGGTGCCAGTCCCACACTGGGGTACAGGGGTCCTGCCGCCCCCGCACCTGTTCTCGCCTGTGTCCCCCAGAAGCCTGAGAGGTTCCGGGAGTGTGGGGGAGGGCAGCGGTGCTCGGTGATGCCACAGAGGACTCGTCACCCTGGGACACAGCCCGGCCCCTCAGGACGGCCGCTGTCTCCGCCAGGGCACCCGACACGCAGCCACCCGGTGCAGAGCCACAGCCCCACCACCGTGTCACCGCGGTGTCAGCCAGTGTCTTCCTGGCTCTGGACCTCCCCGCTGGGAACAGTCTGCCCCGAGCTCCTGGCTGCCTCCCGCCTCCGCCACAGGCTCTTGCCCTCTGCTCTCACCTTGGAGCCGCAGCTTCGTCACTGAGGCCACCCTGGAGGTCACCGTCACCACCGTCAGCAGCTCAGCAGGGTAGATCCAGTTGTCGTCCTTTGTCCCTGTGTCCTTCCCCGTGGAGCCAGTTCCTCCCACCCGCCTCGGGGCCTCGGGTTGTGATGTTCCCAGTCACGCCCGTGCAGACTCTGTTCGCTGGTGTCCCCACAGGGCTGCCAACACCTCCTGCTTTCAGATCAGCAGCAAAATTAATAACGGTGTTGTTTTCCCATCTTTCACGTTTACTGGACAGAGGACCCCAGGGCCCCATCTCAGCTCTGGATCCTGGGTTCCTGGCGACGTGCCGGGGACAGAGGCCCGGGGAGCTGTTTCCTCCATGGCCCGGACTTGGAAATAAATGGGTCTGACCTCCGAACTCATCCCGATTCAGGTGCTGCGAACAGAGCAAATTTATTCCCGGGGGCTCTGCCTGAGCCTTCTCTCTCAGCCGCCGCTTCTGCAGGCCCCGCAGCAGGGAGTTGGGGCTGCACGTGGCCCAGGGTTCGGCTCTAAGTCGCTTTTACACGCGTGCGAAGCAAGCCACCAGTCTGCTTTTGGAAAAGTGTCTTCTGGCCGCTACAGAGTGGGGTGGCCCCCCCACCCCACGGCAGGGGGCAAGAACCTGCTGCTCGACCCCCCAGCCAGGATTTCTTCCTCTGCCGACACCGTGGAGACTCAGCATCGCCACCCCACGGACGCCAGTTCTCTCCCGGGCACCACTCCCAGCACAGGGAGGCGGCAAAACTGAGGTTTCTTCCTCCTGGAGAGCTGGAGCTTCCCGAGGACGGCAGCCACCTGTCCGTGTCCGTGGGACCGTCTGGGTCCCCATTTTTCACCGAATGCAACAGCCAGCCCTCCTCGTTGGCCGCTGCGGACCTCGGGGAGTCTGCAGCCCACCCTGTTCACCCTTTCCCAGGACCCAGTGCGTGTGGCCGTGTGTGGGGCTGTGGGCTCTGATCTGTAGTCGGAGGGCGGCCTCCTGCCTGCTGTGTGCACTCCCGAGTGTGGCCTGGGCTGTCTCTGATCGGCCACCCGGGAAGACCAGCCGCCCCAGGGGACCCTCGCCCCCCCGCTGTGGGCCTGTCTCCATCGCCGCTCCACTTCCTCGGGGCGGTCGGGGCGGGACTGCAGCCAGGGCGTCTCCAGCCACAGGGGTTTGCATCGGACTGGACGTTATTGAGCTTCCTGTCTCCCTGGGAGCAGGTGGTGGTCTAGTACCGCCCACGTGGCTCTTTGGCCAAAGTACCAGAAGCTGCTGCCTCCCTTCAACCCCGTCCGTGGGGACCCGTGAGCTTCCTCCCCACCGTTCTCAAATCCCTGGGAGCACGTGCCAGACGTGAGGCCCTTCCGGCGAAGAAGCGGGTGCTTAACCGGTGTAATAACGTCCCCCTAAAAGCGGAGTCCTGATGTGCAGGAGAGAACGTGGAAGGCAGATCATTACTGAGAGTTGCCCGTGCACCTCCCTGAACATTTCTCTCTGGAGAGGTCCCTTGGGGCCCAGCAGAGCGGAGTGGGGGGGGGATTTGAGGGAGACCCGACTGTCACTTGCACCTCTTCTAGTAATGAGACCTCCCCCACCCCCCACCCTCCCCCACCCCCGCAGCCAGCGCAGCCAGCGCAGCCCTCACGGCGCAAACAAGCCCAACCAGCCCCAAACGGGCGTGACCGCGAGCATTTTCGAGAGGCCTCCGTGCAGCCTCCTCCCTGGGCCCGGAGCAGAGCGCAGCCGGCCCGCCTCCTTTTTGGGGGGGAATTAATATTCTCATCACTAAATGCACACTAAAGATCCAACAACGTACAGGCTTTTCGCTTTTGTTAAAAACTTGCAGAGAGTTGCCGAGTTGAAAGACAATGTGAGCCTTCCCGTGTGTGAGCGGGCGGGCGAGCTCGGCCTTGTGAGGACGCGTGTTTGCACCAGCGGAAGGCAGCGCCTGGCTCCCTAAATTATTCACCAGTTGATTAATGGGCTCACAGGGGTATAATTAGGAGCGGGAGAGACAGTGGGCACCAACCGCACGGCGCTCGGGGGAACGGGAGCCTTCGTTTCTTCACGGGAACTTTCTCGGGTGCTGGGCGTTTGAAGATAAGTTGGGAAGAGCTCAGCGCTCTTCTCTTTTGAAGTGGAAATAGGACAGTTTGAATCCGTCGAGTTTAATTTTTCACAAGCTTTAGGGGCCCTGCGGTGCAGCTCCCTCTTTATTATTGAAAAAACGCCACGTTTTTCTTTCATTTCGTGCACACAGACGCGCCCGCGGTCCAGGCAGTAAGCAGCAAACACGCTCATTTGCCCTTTCGCTGGGCTTGTCTTTTCGCGGGCGTCCCTCCCGGGCGGCCCCCACCCTCGCCCCAGCCACAGGGCTGCCAGGGGTTGGCGAGCGGCCACCCTGTAATTTATGCGTTTTTCAAGGAGCCGCACCTCGGTCTGACAATGCTTTTGAAGTAGCTCCTTTTTTCAAGTCAAACTCTGACTTTCCCGCTGGGACTGCTACAGAGCTTTCCTCATGGAAAGTAGGCTCGCGTCTTTTCTGGGGAGAGGGGCTGGGGAGCCAGGCTCCGCAGGCCGGAGGAACGGGGAGACAGGGTCAGAGCCCCGTTTAGCAACGGGCTCCTGCCCCACAGGCCCCGCTCCTTGTTTTGAAGAAAACCAGACTTTGGCCCTGGCTGGTGTGGCTCAGTGGATCGAGTGCGGGCCTGTGAACCAAGGGGTCACCTCTTGATTCCCAGCCGGGGCACGTGCCTGGGTTGCAGGCCTCATCCCCAGTAGGGGGCGCATGAGAGGCAACCACACACTGACGCTTCTCTTTCATCTTCCCTTCCTCTCTCTCTAAAAATAAATAAATAAAGTCTTGAAAAAAAAAAAACACCTAGCATAAAGAACCGGACTTTGACTGTGGAAGTGTGTGTCATCTCTGTGCCATCAGAAGGTCTGTCACCATCAAGGTTGCAAGGCTCCTCTGTCCAGTGGCCAGACCGGTGGGGAAACTCAGGCAGCAAGGGGCTCTCGGTTCACTCGTGCTTCCGTTCAGCGAAGCTGCCTCCCCGGCCAGAGCTGTCTGGGGTCCCCCCCGCTGGCCGTGGGCCTGGCTGCGGGGGCTTTGCTGGCCTGGGTGTTCCCACCGTGCTCACTCCGGGTCACAGACCAAGGAAGCAAAGCCCATGGGTTCCTGGCGAGTCGGGGGGGAGCCCCGAAGTGCACGGTGTCCTTCTCACTCTGACCAGAGCTTCTGGAAGCATCTCGCCCTCCACGGGCAGCCCTGGCAGCTTCCAGCCCACTCAGCTGTGAAATCGTCTGTGACAGGCCGGACCCCTCGGCCCCAGCTGCCTCCTCCAGCCAGGAGGTCTCCCGTGCAGCCACCTGGGGGGGTCCTCTCACACCCCCAAGGCAGGTGCAGCGTGAAGCCCCCACACTCTGGGCCTGTCCCTGACACGGGCTCTCTCTCTGGGGCTGTGAGTGGGGCCCTCGGAGGGGGCGCTGCCCGTGGCGCGTGCCCTTCGGACAGTGGCTGTGTCCCTGAAACAGGTTGGGGACAGGGGACTGGCTGGGGTATGTCAGTGAGAAGGCGGCACTGAGGCTCCCCCGTGGGGCACGCGGCACAGCTGTGATGGAGGAGGGGGGCACACGGGGCCATGCCTGTCGCTCTGCACCTGTCCACCCTGCTCCGACTTAGGGGACGGGGTGGGAATACGGGAGAGGGGTCGGCGGGCAGGGCAGAGGGACACGGGGGGGAGGCGAGGCGAGGGGCCAGTGCAGCAAAAGGGAAGCACCCATCCTGCTGGCCCCCATTCGCCCTCCCTGCAGCCACCCTGTGGGATCCAGGGGAGGCCAAGGTCAGGGGGAGACATACGGCCCCTCCCACCTCTCACCTTGATGCACGCAGCTGACCCTCTAGAAGGCGCTGTCTCCACCCCCACTTCTGGTCACGGTGGGTTCTAGGATGTGAGGTAGACCTTGCACTGTGTGTCTCTGGTCATCTCTGCCTACCTGCAGTGCCCAGGGCCAGCGAGGGGCCCCACTAATGCTTGAGGTTGAGGGGTACGCACCTGCTGGGCCCTGGTGGCACAGCATGGCAGTCCCAGGCAGGCGCCCTGCAGCGGCCCGGCCAGGCCCGTAGTGGTCCTGCACCTGCGTTCTGGATAGGACAGGCCCTGCCGTCCCAGGGGTCGGCAGGGACAGCAGTGATAGAAGGCAGCCGGTGGCCCGGTGGGTTCTGGGGGTGGCCGGCTGCCGTCCCTCCTCCACAGTCCAGGGAGCAGCGGCAGGTCTGGGCCGTGGAGCTGTTCCCTGGTTGCGGTTCTGACTCTGCCACCTCCCAGTTGTGTGACAGATTCGGACGGGGGGAACCCAGGCTCCTCATCCGTGAGGTGGGCTCTTCGCAGCCTCGCCACCTCGGTCTGTTCTGTGTGAGGCGGGACCGTGCGTGAGATGCACAGTGCCGTGGGGGGCCTCTCACCAGCCGGGACTGGGCGCTGGCTGCCCCGAAATCGTGATTGGACACGTGACGGTGGCAGCTGCGTGACCGTTGGGTGCACACCCAAGTTTCCATGTGGATGTGTTTTTGATATTTTATTCTCTCCCTGTGACTGCTGCTGGCTTTGGGTGCCTGGCCCCCACGGGAACCAGGAACTGGCAAAGACCCGGTTGGCCACACCTCTGGTGGCGCATCCTCTGTGTCACACAATGACAGGCATTTGGTCCTGCTCCTGATTTCACCTCCGGGGTTTCAGGCAGGGTGGGTGGCGAGGGCTTGAGTTTGCTCTGCTCTGACTTGGTTTTGGTTCAGCAGCCCGACGCTGACCAGGACCGGGCCGCTCGCTGGCGTCCTGTCTGGTTCTCAGTTCTGGTGTCCGCTGGTTCCGTGGTACCTCTCCCTGTTGCATCTGCTAGGACTGCCGTGTCCAGGATGGAGTCTCCATTTTCATACCTGGTGCCTGCAATGAGACGCTGGGGACCGAGGGGGCTGGTCAGGCAGCTGTCCTGATGGCCTCTTTACCTGGCCCCCTTGGGTGTCCCCACAGTACAGGGGCCTCAGTTCGCCAGCCTCCTGCCTGGTTCTAGAGAAACCTGCACCCGGGGTGTCCAGGGCGGCTGTGAGTAGAGGGTAGAGGGTGGGGTGAGCTTCGAGGCTTCCATCAGACAGGTCAGTACGACCAGCCCACACCCGAGGGGAGGGATCGGCGCCCAGAGGTTCGGGGGTTGCACAGGGCTGGTAAATCTGTGACTGGCGGAGCAGAACAGGTGGCCTCAGACCTCAAGGAGCTGGGTGACAGCATGACTTCCCACCTGCCACGTAGGGGTTCACTCTCAGCTCAGGGGCCTGAGAGGCCAATTCCCTTTTAAAGAGGAAGGAGGCCCTGGAGAGTGGTAAAGTGACTCACCCAAGGGCGTGCTGTGAGTGGGCCACAGAGTGGAGGGCAGAGTTCATGCTGCCCCCTCCCTGAAGGGCAGGGACAGGGCACAGACTTGGGCAAGTGGCCCCAGAGCCAGGTCATCTGCCTTTAAATCTGGGCCCTGCACCTATCAGCCGTGTGGCCTTGGACAAGTTACTCCCGCTCTGTGCCTCCGTTTCCTGATCTGTCGAATGGGGTTGTTGGGAAGATGGCACGAATTAGTACCTGGATGAGAACAGATAGGATACACACTCAGAACCGCGTGAGCTCGTGGCGGGCACGGCAGCGCAAGCTCGTTGAATGACCGCCAGGGCGTCTTTTCCGCCCCAGAAAACGGGTGCGCCTTTGCTGGTTTCCTCCTCCCAGGTGACTCGGGCAATGGCGTTCTTGCTGCCCTTCAGATGTGGGGGAGACGGCGCCTTCTGGGCCCGGATCCATCACCTTGGAGGACACGTGCACCCCTAGACTCCCGGGCCCGCAGCAGCAGCCACTGTGACTGCACCGAACCGGAAACCGCTCACCCTGGCAGGCAGGCCGCCGGCCGGCCCCCTTCCCTCTTTCCATTCTTCCTTTCCTATTCCACTGAAAGACGGAAGAACACAGTTTAAGACAGAAGTAACTATCAAATCCTTACACACAGTGTGGGTAACGAGCACTTTTCTTAAAGGTCTTATTAACTTGCTCAGTGAAGTACCATCTATTTCTAGAAGAATGCCTCTAAATGGTCTCTTTCCATCTGACACTCCCCTGGAGAGACAAAGCGAGGTGTCTGTGACGGGAGGGCGCCCCCCCCCCTGCAGCGGTGACACTGGATGGTGCGTGGGCTCCTTGGCCTTGGCTTCACTCCTCACTAGGGCGAACAGGCAGGAAGGGGGGGGAGGGTGGGAAGGGAGAGGGCTGGGGGGGGGGCCGCAGGGACTCGCTCCTCATTGGGAGGAGCCCCAGGGCTAATGTACTTTTCTAGACTTAAAGAAAATGCAGTTTCTTCCTGGCACCACTGCCTGTCGAGCAATTTTAAATGTTATTGTCAAGCCATAGAGATGTTAGAATACAGACTTTTGGAACCAGAAGAAGTCTTAGAAGAGATCTGTGCCATCTTGTGCCTGGAACCCCTGGAAACTGGGCTTGTCTGGCGCAAGTGACCGGAGTTCACCAAGGATGCCAGCTAGGTCCTGCGGCTTACTTCCCCTCCCCCAGAACTGCAGGGTGCGGCCAGCTGGAACAATCCCGCCTCCCCTCGTTCTCTCCCTCCCAGCCTTTAGAAAGGACCATTTTGTGCTCGTATGGGGTGCAGTAGCCAAGGTCGACCAGCAGGTGGCGGTAAATAATAAACAAACAGCCTAAGGCGCGGCTGCCCCGTCCCCACTCCGTGGGCCCTTCCCCTCCTTCTGAAACGCTGGCGATTTCCGGTTGTGGGGGCCAGGGGGGCTGGCCGGCCTCGGCTGCCTGGAGTCAGTACCCTGGAGCGGGGGAGGGGAACAGTCTCCCAGAAGTAGCTTGCACGGAACCACAGCGATTCCAACCCACGTCCTGGGCCAAGCCCCCAGCATTCTGGGGCTGAGACGTGGCAGGGTGGGGGTGGGGTGGGCCCGTTTCCTCCGGCGTCACTGTGCAGGAGACGGAAATACAGTAGAAGCAGCCTCTTCCTCCTCCACGTCCGTCCTTTCCTCAGACCCGCCCCCCCCCAGGGCCCTTCAGGGGACCCGGCACCATGTTGGGGTGTTGGGAAGGGGGAAGATGTGCAAACCCTGAGTCTCCCACCTGACCTGTCACCTTTAGCCTGGTTTCAAGCGGACTTGAGGAAGGAAGGAAGGTGCAGGGACAGTCACAGGGTGCGTGTGCGTGTGTGATGTGTGGGTGGGTGTGACTGGAGAGTGTGTGTGTCGCGGGGGTGTTGTAGGTGAGTGTGAGGCTGTGAGTGTGTGTATAAGGTGTGTAGTGTACAGGGTGGGTTGCTGGGGGTGTGCAGGGCGTGTGGAGACCCTCCACTCCATTCTGATCTGCCCTGGGTGTAGGGTTAAACCGCTTACTCTGTGCCTGTCGGTCGACCCCGGGTCCTTTCTGTCTTCAAACACAGGCTGCTGTTACCTTTCCTCCACTTACGTCCTAAGCCTTTCAGGACCCACTTCAGCAGCCCCCTGCCCCTCCTGCCCCCCCTGCCTGGCAGGCCGAAAGCAGGAGTGCAGGTGTGGACGCCAGGGGGCAGCAGGGGGCAGCAGGAGGGCGGGAGCAAGGCCTGGAGGAGCCCCACCCCCTGGGCCCCCTTCCACTGGGAGGTGGGGAGTGGGGCCCACCTAACCCCAGGCCAGCTCTCTGTGGGGCCCAGACTGAGGATGAGGAAGAGTCCATCTGATCATCTGGGGTGGGGTGGGAGTGGGGGGCAGGGGGAGCCCCGCTCATGCAGGAGCTCTGACCAT